AACTTATTCGAAGATGTCCAGAGTGTGAACAGAACCAGTCTGCTCCACTAACAGCTCCCCTACAACCATGGCAATGGTCGAGCGAACCATGGTCACTGTTGCATGTGGTTTATGCAGGTCCCATTGGTAACAAGATCTCGATTCTAATGGATGTACCCTCAAAGTGGCTAGAAGCCATTCTAGTGTCTATAGCATCATCGGAGCTGACTATCCAGCAGTTACACTCTATTTTTCCTCATTTTGGATCACCACAACAATTGTTTCAGATAATGGCTTGTGTTTCACAAGTTGTCAGTTTTGTACATTTCTCAAGGGGAATGGAGTGAAACAGATAACGACTTCTCCATATCATCCCTCTTCAAATGGTCTAGCAGAGAGAATGGTTCATGTGGTCAAGCAGGGACAAAGGAAATCACATCAGGGGACCTTGCAGGAGAAGTTAGATTGCATACTTTTTAGTCATTGTATTATACCACATGTAGTCACGGGTTCATCACCAGCTGAATTGTTATTTAATATACCATTGAGGTCATGTTTAGATTTAATGAAGCCTCAGCTGCGCCAAAGAGTTTATCAGTAGCAGCTGGAGCAGAAGAAGCATCGTGATCAACATGCTAAATCAAGGACATTTGAAATAGGTGAGGCTGTATATGCTCAAAATTTTGGGAGACGTGACAAATGGTTGATGTAATGTGGGAAATAGAGTTGGAGGATCTTACTAAGCAACTAAGCATTTGGAACAGATTCATAAGAGTAAGAATAGCCCAATCATAATTGATATTGATTGTCAAGAGAATCATCCACCTGCACCAACGGTACCCTGTGATGATCCAGGGCCTCTTGTGGACCACCCTGACATAACGCCTTGCCATTATCTTACTAGAACAAGGCAAACGCCGGACCATTGCTATTAAGTAACTATTAGTTGTGCTCAATTTATTATTAATTTAGTGGGAGGGAAGTCTGTCATGTATGATGCCCTTTCCTATGTCTATGAATAGTTGATCAGTTTTTAGTCTCTTATTTAATCTTGATATCATACATACTTGTGTGATTTTTCTTCTTTGATTTTTGCTTATAATATTTTGGGATAAACCCTACCTTCAATCAATTCCTAACTTAAGGGAATACTAAAGTATCTCAGTATCAGTTGATGCTGCAACGATAATTCTTATACAAATCTACTCCAACAGTCTATGGGCATGTCCATGTCCCATCAGATCATTCTTCAAGTAAGGAAAAAGTGATACTGTGACTGCTGGATCATACTGTCTTAGTTGCATGCTGCCTTTTTGTTAGTTATAGAAGCATGCACTCCAAAATATGGGCGTGGTCATGCATGCTCAGATCTGCAGCTTTGGAAGAAGCATTTTAATTTACCTAGCTATGCCTGGAATCTACTGCAGTACTTTAGTCAATGTTTTAGCTACGAGAAGGTATTATTCTTACATGTTACTGTTTTATCAAGTGTGTGATTTTATTTTATTAAAAAAGCAAAACAATAATTAATTTCATGATATCCAATGATAATATGAACTTTACAACAGCCTAGAAGAACAGGAATAGCTACAACAATGCAGGGCAGATGGACTATCTCAGCTCACAGCTTCTTGTATCAAGACAAGTATAAATTTCACTTGTCATCAGTATAGTTGATATTCCTTTAGTATGACTATTCAATGCTGTCTCTCGTAAATGATGTAGAGTCATAACAATGATAATAATAATAATAAAGAAAATTATTGTTTGTGTAAAATAAACATGTATCACAATGGCAAATAAAGGAATATGATCAATATGTGACCATAACTGACAAAAGGGCCCTTATGGCGGATTTTAAAATTGATCTTAATAATGGCAAATATCAACCTGTGAGTGCTTTGTTAGACAATCATTGTTTCTAAAAGTTATATGGTAACTTTTTGCATCCTGTGGAGTAATTTTATGATAAATGGGGCTGAGGAAGTTGGATTTCTTGGGCTAGAAAGACAAATTTCACTACCCGCCATAAGGTACCTTTTGTCAATTATGGTCACATATTATTAAAAAATTAACACAAACAAGAACATTCAACAAGTATCACAATAGCTACTAAGAAATATTATAAAAAATCAACACAAACAAGAATATAAAAAATTTAAAAAAAACAAGGTTAAGTAGCATTCTGAAAGACCACCTAAAATATGAAATGAAAATCCTTCTCGTGACAAATTCTACTCTACATTGCAAGGTGATTCGTAATTCATACATACTAACATTGAAAGTACAGTGTAGAGTAGAATTTGCGTAACGAGTTGGATTTTCATTTCGTGTTTTCATTGATCATTTGGAATCCTACTTAACCTTTTTGATTGATGTACAGGTGTCACATGAATAAGATTTGTTCTTAAATGAAGAAGTTACTTGTATTTTATCTTTTCACTGCCCTTCTATTAAGACGTGAGTAATCTCCAGGCTGAATTTTAAACATCTTTTATTTGATCCTGTAGGAATTCCTTGTAGATTGTCTAAATCTATAGAGCATATTACCCTCTAAGTTTTCAGAAATTCAAATACTGTTTGATTTTCATTTACTTTTCCTTGCTGCCATTGCTTTAACCCTGCTCAATTCTTTTGCTGAGAAATGAAATAATACCAGTGTTGTGGTAAAAGAAATGAGTGGCTAATTCAACAAAAGAGTGTACGTCATAAGGACCAAAAAATAAAATTCTATATTTAATGTTATTAATTATCCATACCAGTAATATGTATTCCCTTTAATGTCTCTCGGCCAAATTGTCCTCTCTTTTTTATATGCATCAAAATCTTCTCCACCTTCAACCACTGCAAATTATATAGGCGGTAGCCTATATGTAGGGTGGAGGTTGATTTTTCAAGAGGGCGGCCAAATTTATAATTTTCAAATGATTATAACTCATCTGTCTTACCTTGTACGGCTTTATAAATGGCTTAGACGAGCTCTCCATCACTGAGCAATTCTCCTGGTACCTTTATAGTGGAGTGCAATGTAGCGGGAGCAAGTCTGGAGAATAGGCCAAAATTCAAAATTTCTGCAAAATTCTTCAGGCTTTTTCTTCTTTCATCTTCTATAGGCCCTCTATTCTTTTAAGCGAGGAAAATGCTCTGGCTGGTTTTTACACCATTCCTCTACACTTCGGTCAAGGACTACAAAGGTAGTTTCAAAATTTTAATTTATTTCCAGGTCAAAACAGAAGTATTAATGGGCGTGATAACACACCCTTTTTTCAGTCGCCATTTTGTCATATATTGCGTATACTCAGAGTTGCCATAGTGACTAGTCTGACCTACAGTAGTAGAGTACCGCTGAATAATATTGCTCTATTCCTCCTGTCTCTTCTTCTGCTAGCTAGTAAGGAGTGCGCAGAGTAACAGATCACCAGTTCTTTTAAGAGCTAATAGGTAAACAAAATAAAATTTAAAATGTTATATATTCTTTAAATTAATTAGAGTGACTTGAAAATTCAGCTGCTCTTTCATTTGAAGGAATATTGTCAGCTGCACTTGATTACATCTAG